TTATTACCATACATCCTAGGCTGTTAAGCTTAACCTCACTATCTGTCTGAATATCAAACATGTTAGGCATAACATGGAACAGGTATTTTTCATCAAGTATTGATATATTGAACCTTAAGTCCCTACAGAATACGATGAAAAAACATTTAAAAATTAGAATATATTTTTAAAATAAGCATAAAGAATTATATAATTCTTATGTTTACACATAAGTCCAAAAATCTAACCATGTACAACCTTGGAGTAGGACAGACCCACAACATTCCTTTTCCTGTCTCCTGCCTTCATTCACCACCCCCTTCTTTTTAAACAATCATCTACCTGAGAGACAGCACAGCAGCAACTGTCATGTCATGACAAGCAGCCTGTATTCAGAAGACCAGAATGACAGGCACTCCAAGCATGAAACTACTATTACAGATTACCATCTGCAGTGCAGTTGCTTAGTTCACAGGTATCAGTATATATAGTTTAGTCAGGGTGAGAATCTTTCCAATTAACTGCTAGAATCAAAAATCTTCTGGAGATTCTCAGGATCATTGCCTTACCCATCTTCTACATATAACTGTATAGCTTGTCCCTGTCATGTTTCCTAGCTCTTCTCCTTTCCCTCTCTTAATTAGTTAGTCCTCGAGTTCTTGCTTTCCTTTTACTTGCATTATACCTCTCTATTTGTATTTCTTCTTTTGAGTTCTTATACTAGGGAAATTATATGAAATTTACACATGTGTGTCTGGTTTATTTCACTTATGAGTATATATTCTAGTGACATCCACTTCAATATAAAGGCTTTGAGTGTATCATTCTTTATAGATGAGTAATTCCTTCCTTAATTTTGAGTGGTCAGTATTTTATATCAGCAATGAGAGAAAAGTAACTGAGACATAATTTGATACTGAGAAGTGGGGTCATTGCTGTGACTACACCTGACCATGTTGTTCAAGAGCCTTTGGGAATGGCTTATGGGAAGAGACAGAAAAGATTTGGAGATGTTGTCTGAAAAAGAAGCACTGGACTGCCTTTGACTGTTCTGTATGACTCTGGTCAGAGCTCAGAAGACCAGAATGCTGATAGAAATCCTGCCTGTAAAGTCTAGGCTGGTGAATTTCTTCTGAGAAAAAGGACTGCATTTGGTGTGTGTTACAGCTTGGTAGGAAGTTTGTCTGAATTTTGCTTATGTTCAGAGGCTTTGCTTGAGACTGAGATTAAACACAGTGGACTGATTAATCTGGATAAAGAAATTACAAGGCAATCGAATATTGAGGCAGTGGCATAGCTATTGTGGTGGCTTGTAGTGAGGTTTATGTTGAGAATCAAGAGCAAAGAACCCAACAGCATGATTTAAAATGTATTGCTTCCACAAAGGAAACACCATTAAATCTGTGAACTGCAAAGACAGAGTTTAGAGGATCTCCACTTGCTGAGAAGGAACAAGAGAATGGAAAGGATGGCCTGAGGGCATCACAAGAAGCAAAAAAATCACCCTTTGCAGCTTCAAACCTGCAAAGGTGAAAGTCTTTGCTTCAAGGAAAAAGCCATAGAGTGGCCAGGTTCCAGATTAGCATTATTATAAAAAAAAAATTGTTCCTTGGAATCAGGGTTAGAGTGCTCAGTAATCCAGGCACTCGATCCCTACAGTCAAAAGAGAAGAAAACCTGGCTACTGCTCCAGCTGGCGGCGAACCTTGGCATCATCCACATGGCTTTGGTTTTAGGCACATGCAGAATGCAAGAGCTCTGGGGTTAAGAAGGCTTCCACTTAGATTTCAGATGAAGGCCTGGGAGGCCAGGTCATGTGCCCCTAGGAGGGTAGTGTGTGAAGCTGAGTTAGAAGCCTAATGTGTACTGGAACCCCAGGAGTTTGGGAAATCCAGGAATGTGGATCATGTAAGGAAAACTGCCAGAAGGGAGCAAAATTGGCCTAAGAGAGAAGCCATAGGAGCTGCCACCAAAAGTGCCATAGAGATGGAGCTCAAATTTGTCACAGATGGTTTTAAATGTTCCACATGGAACTATAGGACTTCATGTTTGCCCTGCTAGATTTTGGACCTGCTTTGGACCCAAGGCTTTATATCCTGCTGTTTATACCTTTTAGAATGGAATGTTTATGTTGTGCCATTGAATGTTGCAAGTGTTTAATTTTTTATTTGTATAGGACCTCATAGGTAAGAGCTTGCCTTAGATCCTGGAGAAGACTTCGGAATTGGACTTTTCAACAATGCTGAAATTGTTAGGATTTTAGCAACTCTTAGAGACAGACTAAAATGCCTTTTGCATAAAGGGAGATACATGAGTCTTTGGGGGTCCAGGATCAGAATGTTATGGTTTGTGTCTAGTTGTCTTCCCAATGCCTCATGTAGGCATTGGAGTGGGCTTCTAGAGTTTGTAATTAATTCCTGATCCAATGATTGGATTATGGGTATAGGTGCTACAACCACCCTGGTGTGGATAGACTGAATACAATGTAGGAAAGGGAGAGAAGCTTGCTAGCTGCCACAACTACTGCTCTTCCCTTTGCTTTTTGCTTTCTTCTGCCACCATAAGCTACTGCCTTCTGCCATGTGGCACTCTGCCTTGAAGCCAGTCGAGTATGGATTGAAATGTTTGCAAACTGTGAGCTAAATAAACCTTTCCTCCCTTAATTTGAGGTGTTGAGTATTTTGTCCCAGCAATGAGAGAAGAGTAGCTAAGACAACAGGTAATCTTGCTTGCTATTTTAATTGAGCAAAGGTGTCAAGAGACACCTCAATAGGCAATTGGTGGTCCTGCTGTGCCAGCCCCATCCCCAGGCCGTGCTGTGATGGCAATTGAGACTGGGCATGGTGGCACGCACCTGTAATTCCAGTTCTTGGGAGGCTGTAAACAGGGGGATCACTACAAATCTGATCTAGTAGTGAGACCCTGAACATCCTGTAGACCCTTCACTTAAAAAAATACAAAAAAAAGGCAATTAAATTGTCAGGAAGTTAAACCCTGTACATGAGTTAATTTATGAATGGGTCCATAGCTGATGAGCTATTGACAGGTGGAATCTGGTTGGAGGAAGCAGGTTTTGGGGGTGGGCCTTTGAAGGATATAACTTTTCTGAGACTCTTCCCTTTTTCTGCCTCCTGGCTGCCCTGAAGTAAGCACCTTCCCTCTAACATCCACTTTCCCCATGACATTCTTGCCTTGCTGTAGGCCTAAAGCAATAAAGCCAACCAACCATTGACAGAAACCTCTGAAACTGTGAGCAAAAGCCTCCCTCATTATGCTGTGTATATCAAGTGTCTGGCCATAGCAATGGAAAGTTGACCAACATACGGTGCACTGTAGATAGATGTCCCTACCCATGGCAGTGGATGGGATCTGAAATCCAACAGGGACTATGTCTATCATGTGACTCAGAATGGGACATTTTCAGTCCCAGATAAGAATTCTCTTTTTAATTCCCTTTCCAGAAAGATGACCTTTTGAAATTCTTAAAAATGTGCTACATATGTCTAGGGAACCCCTGACTTTATTTATCTCCAGCCTCTTTGAACTTCAAATCTTTAACAGAAATTTACACAACTCAGAGTTTACTTTGCAACCTCTGCTTTTAGGACAGACCTGTGACAAATTTCATGTTGCTCTGCTTGGAATGCTGATCCTCATGTCAGCATGATTCAGTCCTTTCATCCATTTGCTCTCTGCTCCAGCGCCATCCCTACAGAGAAGCTTTCCTAACATCCCTTCTAAAAAGACTCCCCATAGGGGCTGGCGAGATGGCTCAGTGGTCTAAAGCACCCACTTGGAACAAGCTTAGCAAACCACAGGGACCACGGTTCAATCCCCCAGCACCACATGCCAACCAGCCCCTGCCCCTGGTGGGCTGAGCTGGCCACACACACACACACACACACACACACACACACACACTCAATAAATAAATGTTAAAAAAAATTTAAAAAAAAAAAAAGACTCCCCATCCCTACCTTGCTCTATCCTCTCATCCAGCTATCTGCATTCCCCTCGTAACTGCCTGAAAAAGTATATTAGTTTCCTGTAAGCACCTTTAATAATGAAACTCATCTCATTCACTGATGCTTGTCTTGTCCCGACTCAGCTAGATGCCCAGTAAACATATGCTGGATGAACACATGGATCAGATCAAAATAAAATGGATATAAACAACAAGAATAGCATGTATAACATTCCTCTCGAAAGATAGTGCTTAGCCAGAGCAAATATAAAGGTTCTATTTTCTGAAATGAAAACAATATGCAATGTATTAACCATTATTACCCTCCTATCATATTATTTTGGAATTTTGATTGTTTATTGTGTTTTCTTCTTTAAAGTAAATTTCTTTTAAAAAATGGAAAAAGGTTGTTTTTTTTATGAATTCTGTTCCATTATACTAAGATTAATTTGGCTGATGAACCAGTTCCTTAAACCAGTAATGTGGCTATTTTATCCTCCTCAAACTAATCAGCATTGTCTTTATTCTCCTGGAATTTAAACACTTTGGTTTTAAACAGAAACAAAGCATCATGAGGTCATTAGATGCTTTATATATAGGACATCCTGAGATTTCCAGTCCAAAACAAAAAGGCTTTAATGGCATGTCTTATGACTGTGCGTTCTTTGGCAAGGGGCCTGCCCAGTTGTAGCAGTGGTGTTGTGGTTTAGGTCTAAATTGTCCCCCCAAATGCTCATGTATGTGGAGGTGATTGGATCATACACTCATCAATGGGTATATAGGTACCCACTGTTAGAAGGTTGGGTCTGGGCAGTACAGGCAGCTCACTGGAGCCCTGGCCTGGATAGGTGCATCTGCCTTCCTAAATCCTCCTTTCTCTCTCTGCTTGCCAACAACCACAATGGGAACAGCTTTCCTCCACCAGGCCCTTTACTGTGCACTTTCTCCCTTGGATCCAGCTGACTCTGGACTGAGTTCTCTAAAATCTGTGAGCTCAAATAAACATCTCTTCCTTGGGCTGGGGGCCCGCGACCCGCGGTGTGAGCATGGCAGAATCCATGATTCACCTGTCATTTACTACGCCCTTCATAGTAATGCTAAAGGACAAAGAGGAATGGATAAAAATATTGGTGAGCAACTCAATAAAGCATATGAAGCCTTTCGTCAGGCATGCATGGATAGAGATACTGCAGTGAAAGAATTACAGCAAAAGACTGAGAACTATGAGCAGAGAATACGTGAGCAACAGGAACAGCTGTCACTTCAACAAACTATTATTGACAAGCTAAAATCACAGTTACTGCTTATGAATTCCAGTCGAGACAGCAGTTATGCCTGTGTTCCTCCACTTGATGATGGTGAAACCAGGGAAAATAATCTGACTCTTGACCAGCCACATGACCAAGTCAAATCAGGAATACCAAAAGAAAAGCAATCAAAGGTCAGAAGACAAGATGTTTCTTCCCCTAAAAAAGAAACTTCATCAAGGAGTCCTGGCAGTCCTTTAGCCCATGAAAGGGATAATTTAGAGAAGACTTTTTGGGCTCTGAAAGAAGAATTTCATAGAATATGTATGCTAGCAAAAGCACAAAAGGACCACTTAAGCAAACTTAATATACCAGACATTGCAATTGAAACACAGTGCTCTGTACCTATACAATGTACAGATAAAACAGGTAAACAAGAAGCGCTGTTTAAGCCTCAGGCTAAAGATGATATAAATAGAGGTTCATCGTGTATTACATCTGTCGCACCAAGAGGACTAGGTCGAGACGAGGAAGACACCTCTTTTGAATCACTTTCCAAATTCAATGTCAAGTTTCCACCTATGGACAGTGACTCAACTTTCTTACATAGCGCCACAGAGAAACCCAGCATCCTTGCCCCTGCCACATCTGAGGCAGTGTGCCCAAACAAATTTAATATGGAGCTCAGAGACAACCGAGGAAACATCGTTAAAACAGAAGAAACTTTATTTGAAATTCAGGGACTTGATCCCATAGCTTCAGCTATACAAAACCTTAAAACAACTGACAA